AAAAATAATTAAATAAAATTTTAAAAAGTTGATGGTCTGAAAGCACTTATAAACTGAATGATTTGTAATCAAAAATTTGCGCAAAAAATTGTTCAAAAATGTTAATAATGAATACAAGAACCTTTACTCAGAACTGCATTTATTAAATATCTTCAGTTCTTCTTCCAGATCGCAGCGAATTCATTGCAGTTTCTGCATCAAAAATTATTCTTCACGGCAAATGGATATTTTGACATAAGTTTCAGCGTAATGGGCTCGGTTAGTTCAAATTATTTTTTTTTAAATTGCAAAAATGGCAACTTTTAAGATGCGCTATTTTAGATTTCCTCGACCGTATTAACTTACCTGGTGCTCTTCATCCAGCAGGACCAAGAAGTTTTAACCCGTTGAAATATTTTTTAATACTTGAGCAAATAAAACAGCATATTGTCTTAAGTTACAAAATAGTTTATTATGCAACTTAACTCCCATACAATTTTTAACTGCAAAAATAAACTGTTCCTGCAATTTATTCTCAACTGAACAATGTGATGATTAATTATCTAATCCCATTTTCCAGCTATACATACAATTATTTAATCTTGAAAATTCATATATATATCTTAACATATATTTGTTGTCATCTAAGTAGTATTTAATTTTCTTAGTGCAAATTAATCACCTACTGGTTAATTACATTAAGAATACAAACAATATTTTGATTAAATTCATCATTAATAAGTAAAGCGCTCCAGCATCTTCTTTAGTCATCTTCAAGAAGCTCTTCACGCTTTCTTTTCAAATTCCGTTTCTTTTCGAGATACCGTTCCAACCGCAATAGTTTTCCTTTCACAGAAACTATCCTCAAATTGTCTGCACAAACCAGGGGGTTAATTTGAGGATTATGCAGTTCTGTGACCTGTGTGGAAGATGCAGCTGCCGAATCTCCACTGCTTCCAAGTTGCCCGTTCCAATATTCGTTGCCTGGATAAGCGTTTCCATCCCAAGCGTACGAAACTACCAACAATTTGCCTAAACCCAAAAAAAAAACAGTTTAGAAGCAGAAGAAAAAGTTTACTTTTTACTACCTTCATCGTTTAGTGCTTCGTGCGGTTGTCTGTTAAATATATGGATTTTAATGCCCTTCTTGGGATGATTTTCTATTGGAATTGTGTTTCCATGGACTAAATCACCGCAGGATGCTTCTTTGAAGTACGAAAAGCAAATGTCGCTCACAGAAGACAACTGTTTCGATAGGGTTCTAAAATTCGTTATTTCCCAACATAAATCAAGTAGATAAATTTTGTAAAATTCAATACAAACTTGATACGATTGCTAAAGCAGTCCATAAAAACTTTTTCTTGATGGTCGGAAGTTTTCCAGACGCCTAAACCTAAACCGACTAAGTGAATGTACGCCATTTTGCCCGCTTCCAAAGCTCTTTGGTTGGCTTCAATCAAAAGGCAATCAAACACTATGGTCAATCTTTTGCGGTAAATATGATTATCGAATATTGCCCCTTTTGGGGTTTTGATATCGACAAATCGGTCGGTTTCAGCCCCCGACTTTCTATAAACATACATTTTGGTTATTTATTGTCTTATTTCTTTGTTTATTTAGTTTCAATATTGCGCAACCAACTGTTTAGTGTAGCATTAGTTTTTCTTGCTATGACAAAAAACTAGATTTGAATATTTTTATGAACACGAATAAGTTCTAAAAAGCTATTTTTTTAAATGCAAATAGTGGAAGGTAGGGATTTATTAAATTTTAAAAATCTTTCAAAGGAAATGTTGTTTGAGTGAATGTTCATTGATAAATATTAAAAATTACAAAAGTTCAATTTATTTTGTTGCGTTGTTTCACAACTTAATGGTTTACGGTTTCCTTATACCAACTAACTTGTAAAAAACAAAAACTTGTTTTTTTTACTGACATTTTTACCCGCGTATTGATTTTAACCCCGGAACGATTCAATTGGTTTCTTGGATCAAAAATATTATAAAAGTTTAAAACGCTCCTGCAGTTAAAAAAAATTTTGATTTGATTTGTGTTTGCTGGCCTTATATACGTTTTGTACTAAATTTTAATAAAAATTTGTAAATGCAATAAAAATAAAATAGAATTTCGTCTCAACTTAATAATTCAATGATGTTTCTTACTATTTAACCGGCTTTTTTTCAATAATGTGGCCAGGTGAAAATATTTTTAAAAATTTAAATATTAGGTACAGTTTGGGTAATTTTGATTTCGGTTGTTTAGTTTAAGTCAGTTTGAATTAGTTTGGGTTAATCTATGTTATGCTTATCATAATATGTATCTTTAAAACGACCGATGTGACAAAAATAATATAAATTTTAAAAATTAACAAGCCCCTTAACTTTTTATAATCTACTTAAAAATATATGTTAGAAAATGAAAAGCTTCCCATATAGATTAATCGACATTCATACCTTCTTTGAACCGCTTCACTGTAGAGGAGACTTTCCCCTTCGAAGAAATTAGCGAAGAGTGTATGGATTGAACCTACGTTTCCATAGCCATTTGATTTCTGAAAGCGAAAAAAAATTATTGATAAACTGTAGTAGACTTCTAAATAAAATGATAGGGTTTAATAAACATAACAGTGTCTGTTTTTTTTCCGATTTTTAAATAAATGTAATTTCAAGCTCTTCTTTCATCTTGGAATACTGTCTCTATATATTTAGGCCTTTACAGTTATTACAATGTCCTCTTGATAGCTTCTTCAAGAATGGATAAAACAGTAGTAATACAATAAAATGTATTATTAATATAAAATTATTATTATTATAATTGTTGACTTAAAATATAAATTTAGTGAAATCCATTTACCTCTTTATAAATTCATTTCGAGCCAAAAAAATCAATAAAATTTGAAATTTTAACTTACAGAAAAAATATTATCTGCTAATTAAAACACATTTTTTGATTGAGTTTACGTACCAGATTACTTCCCAGCAGCGAGATTTTTATCGATTTATAGATTAGTTGTTATCGCACAGTAAGAGACACGAGCAGTGACGCAATTATTCGAAATTAACGAAAATCATATTGATATAGTAAATAAATAATGCTAAAGTAATAGAAGTGATGTAAGAATTACCAAGCGCTAAAAAGTATTTAATCAATAATTTTAGGTAATTTAATGGATTGTTATCTAGATAATATGGTGAATGGTGATTTTTAAGCGCGTTAATAAAAGACTAATTAAATCCCGTCTTATTTACAACTCAAATTTAAATTCAACGCCCTGAAAGGATAATTATTTACCTTGTTCTGTTTTTCGGTGATTACCATCTCTTGAAAATCCATAACTCCTTGTTTTTTGAGCCGAGGCCCAATCATACCAGCGATTATTCCGGTTTTTTCAACCAAAGCTCTATTCTGCAGATATACCGCTTTATTTTTTCTGTCGCCTTTATTCACGAAATGCGTATAAGAACTCACATACAAAAAAGCTGATAGTTTAATCTCGTCATAACTCAAACATTTTTCCAGAGTTAGTGGAGCTTTTTCTTCGGTTGTACCTGCAAAATGTCTCTCGTGAATTGCAGATGTTGATTTTCATTTGTCAGAGTAGCAACCAACCGATAGTTTCCCATTTACTTGCACCTCTTTCTCCATCAAGCAATATGTATTTATCATTTTTCCCCATAAACATTACTGCCCGTTTCTTCAGCAATCGGTCAACGAATTCATTCAGAGTCATGAATTCATAGAACTGTTTCTCGATGAGGGTTCCATAAGTTCGTTTGAAGATTATGAATTTCACATACAACCCCAATACTGTCTCGTGAATAAATGGATATACTGAATTGATGTTTTTGGTGAGTTCTTCAGAAACATCCTATGTAAAGCGGTTTGGAGTTAATCCAAAAACATTTTGATATTAATGAAGATTTATGAAAACATTGATGTTTTATGGACGAAACAATGGGTATGAGTTTTATACGGTTTTTGTTCCAGGTAAAGCATGGGCTATTATTCCTTTAGTGGTATTTTCAATAAACTTGCGTTCAGCAAAAAAAAATTACGCAAACCCAAATTTTTAACCAGCAAGAACTCGCTTCTTTAAACGGAACTTTACAAATTGCAACATAGCGCGTATTCAACACCCTGTATAGTGGCGGTCTTACGACATTTAAACGAAAAAACCTCGATCATCTTTGATTGACTAGTTCACTTCTTTTACTAAGGTTTCACTACATACAGGATGATTCATAAACAATCGGAACATCGAAACCACCTTGTATATCATGACGAAAACAATATATTACCTTCTTTAATAATGTTGCCAGTCTTCCAGAATCCACGGGAAACTTGATAGGAAACTTTTCACTATTGCTTATAATTTCTTCCAAACTATAATGCCTTATTGCACCATTTACTGCATTGGATTCAAACAACTTGATTTCCTCTCGTGTGAAATCTGCTTTTTTCGGTGTCCAATCCATTTTCAAATACTTACTCAACAGCAGCGGAAGTTTGGCTAAACAATCATAAACTTACTGTGCTTACTAATCGACCTAATTTATTATTTAGTACAGAACCAAAGAATTAGTGAGCATTACAGTAGATATGTGGCCGGTAGATTCTCTCTTAATTATTACTGATATTCGACTTCACTAAAATACATCGTGATCAGATATGATTATTAAGATTAACCAGAAGATTATTGCTAAAGATAGCAACCAGAAAAATCTTCCTACATTGCCAAATTGTAATTGCGAAATGTTGCGAAATCTAAATTAAAAAGAATTGTATAGCTTCTATCGTCGTCCAACCCAACAAATGTTTCTAAAAAAAACTAAAACTGAACAAAGCCGATATAAATCAAAGCTTGTAAAGTTCATAAGCGTGGCAATGCTGTAAATTTTCGTTGCATTGATCTTTTCTGGCGCATTCGCAACGAATTAAACATTCAAAAAAGTAGGACAACAAAAAAATCGATTGGCATGCAGTTTTTTAATCAATCCTCAAACTAAATCATAAAACATTCCACATGTTGTATGTCACAACTTAAAACTAAACACTAAAAGTCTTTACTTTAAACACCTAATCACTTGACTTCATCTCGGTCTGCATTCAGTTTAAGCCGTTTTGCTTTAATATCTGCCATGGTTTGTTCGATTGATCGCACATCTCGCTTATTCTCACTGGGTACTGGAAAAATCTAATTGTAGTAAAAATTAGACAGACATTGAGGACATTTACCAAAGCCATAGGACTTATTGCTCTCAGTTTTCTTAGCAGCTTTGAGTGCAGCATCCTGACCAATGAGATGAGCGTACTTATCTTTGTAATTTGTATTTGGGACCAATTTCTTTGGCTTTTTTATCGGCTCCATTGCTTCCAGTCTTTCTCGTTCTCGCTAGCCATTGCACATTGTTAACTTGAATAAATTTGTAAAGGTTTTCTTACGTTTTTGAGAAGTTGCTGTCGAACTTCCTCATTCCATGGCTCGCCTCGTCTTCGGGCAGCTAATTCATCCTCACAGGGGGGATTATCTCTACTGTATACCCTAATGTATCTGTCTACTCCATCAGTGCCAAAGGCATAGGACAGTAAGTTATGAGTCTCTGCAGCTTCATGACTGGAAATTTCATTGTTAATGTTCTGCAAAAACTAAGTGAATTTGTAACTGAGCCTCACACAATGCTGCGCTGTATTTGATCCATTGGGTCGAATTTTAGCATTATGTTTTTGGGGTTTTTAAAATGACTGGTCAGTTTCGCTTCAACACGTTCCTTGAATCTCTTCAGGCGCTCTTTTTCTTCGTTTTGCTTCTTTTCGATTACATCCTTTTGCACTGCAATAACCAAAATATCATATTAGTATAAATAAATCTTATAACTAGCCAGCCAAACAAATAAATACAAAAGCCTAAATTTCGCAGTAAATCCGTCTGCTTTGCCGTCTAGAAAAGCTTCAAAATCGTCGCTAAATCCGAAAAAAAATAAAACGCACTGGCAGTATCAACCCCTAATATCTAAGGGCTAAGTCCCAACTTTACATGACGCATATATTCATTTAAATCAGTTAAATTTAACCCGTGCTGTAAGTTAATGGACTTACTCTTGATAAGTGTTCGCTCTTTTTCACTGAGCGAGGGCGGCTTGTCCATTGAACTCATAATTGAGTCCAATAAATCCATTCTGCAATTGACAAACAATTTCTTACTCAATAGTAAAAGAGATAAGAAATCCGTTGGACATCAAGGGAAAATGGAATAATAAAAAATGTTTTCTTAAAATGGCAATTAAATAAAACTGATCGTGGTTTTTGACAGCATTTCGGTGACTGCAACTTCGTTTTCCGGAGTTTTAGGGTAATTCCAAGGGCCGCACCCGAGTTCCTATAGAATTTACAAATGTGTGTGAAAAAGCCAGAAGAAATTGCTCAGACTAATTATGTAAGTCATGCGAGTGGTTGATTATTAGTGGCCAATATTTTCTTAAATTATTATTAACGAGCGCTTTTTATGTGGAATTAAATGTATGGTATTCGCAGGTTAGTTTTATCAAATCTGTATTTTCCTAATTTATTACGGACTTAACCAATGAGTTCTTATTTGCTTCCATCTCATGAAGATTCTCGCTGAATGGATGTACTTTTAAATGACACCTCGTGAGTGACGTCATGCGAGACAAAATTTAATTTGCAGCACTATGAAGTAGAATAATGTAATGTGCAAATTAGGAAACTCGTAACCGGACTTTAATTTGGCTATTTCAAGTCGCAACTTAGAATGCCATCTAAAGTTTATGATTACCCGTATAAAAAACCAAAAATAATGTAAACAATGCCATTATTATTTTTTACTTAACTGACAGTGACCATTTGGCAGTTTTCTTGTCAGTTTTGACAAACCTATTGAATATTTTAGCAGTCAGTCAAACAATAATGGTCCGGGATTTTTTTTGAACTAAATCTGTGAATTCCATTAATTACCCTTGTAAATAAATCAATTATCAGAAACCCGAACATTCAAGTGTAGGCTGTGGTTATTTTAATTGCGAAATATTATTTTGTACTATCGATAATACTTATCTGAGACACAAGGTGACGTATCCAAAAAGACGTGTTGGCAAACATAAATTTTTCTGTATAGGGTACCCTTTTCCAAAGTAGTTTCGTGCATGTAGACCTATAAACGTGGAGAGAACCATGACGAAGCGAAGTACCATCATCGGGCTAATATTTGCAAATTTCTTCTGTGTGCAATGTTTCTATTTGCCAGGGTTGGCTCCTGTGAATTATTGCAAGAAGGATGATGAACAACCAACGTGCAAAGTAAGTAAATGAAGCTTTTAAGATCGCTGATAGATTGAAGCAGCCCCGACAACCTCTAACAACACTAAAACTCTTTAGATTTTGATGTATTTTTTCCCGGAAAACATCAGAGATTTATTAGCGGTGTTTCTTGTTTCTCGGTGCCTTTTAGTACCTGTACATTCCAGCAAATCGCTCTTGTCCATTGCTCTGATTTGTCGTGCTCTGAAAATTATAAAACTACCATTTCACCGGTCCGAAATTTTTTTCTTGTTGCAAATGAACTAACAAAGTGCATTTAAGATACAAAATGTTGGTTTAAAAAAATTCTCGATTATAGCAGGGTTTCTCTACATTCGAAGCTCCTGAAAAAGATAAAACTTTATATCGGCAAAATGCTTGAAAATACGGAATCAGTCGTAATGACCTTTTCGATAGCTTGACTCTTTGACCAGTTACATTTCATCAGAAATCCTCAATAGCTAAGGAGAAAGAAGCAAACATGTTCAGGCAATGGAAGCCTTATGTCTCAGAAACAGCTCGAAATATTTATACATAAAAATCCGGCTTAAACAAATGATTCAATAAATAATTGAATAATTACAGGATACCGTTTCTATACTATAACACTTCTTTTCAGTCCGAAGTGAAGCTATTTGTTAACAGATTAAATACCGAAGAATCAGTAATCCCCTATGAATACAATTATTTCGATTTCTGTGTGACGGATGATGATTCAAAGGCGCCAGTAGAAAATTTGGGCCAAGTGGTGTTTGGTGAAAGAATCAGAGCATCGCCTTATAACATCGAATTCATGAAAAATGTCACTTGTACTGAGGTGTGCAAGAAAACGTACGATGGAAGCAAGAAAGACGACAACATGCGTTTGGCCACTCTAAGGAAGGGAATTAGTTTAAATTATAAACATCATTGGATTGTTGATAACATGCCATTGACTACCTGCTTCTATAGGGAAGAGAGTAGACTTTATTGCAGCCCTGGCTTTCCGATGGGTTGCAAGTCAGGTAATAAAAAACTAGGCAGTTGTGTGCCTGAAAACGAAGAACCTGATACTTATTACATTTATAACCATGTCGATTTGACTATTACCTATCATTCGGGTGTTAAGGAGGACTGGGGTGTGAAGTTTGGAAGCAATGGAGGTAGAATTATCTCTGTTAAAGTGGTGCCCAGGAGCATTAATTATAGAGAGTGAGTAATGCTAATCATTCGCACTAAGAGCGCAAAATTAATTGTTTTTTTTTTCTTAGCGGTTCATGCAACAACCCCATCAACAATTTACCACCCCTGCGTTTTCCTGATAAACCCCTAGGAAATAATGAAAAGTTTGAAATAACCTACACGTATTCGGTCACATTTATCCAGAACAATTCAGTGAAATGGTCTTCCCGTTGGGATTATATTTTGGAAGCGATGCCCTACACCAAAATACAGTGGTTCAGCATTTTAAATTCGCTGGTAATTGTTTTATTCCTGTCTGGAATGGTTGCTATGATCCTTTTAAGGACTTTGTACAAGGATATTGCCCGATACAATCAAATAGATAACGGCGAAGATGCTCAAGTAAGTATATATTTTTGTATTTTTAGACTAAATAATTAACGAGTAGCGGCGCAGCACGGTCTACAAGCAAACTCACTTCACGCAAACTAATTCCATCAGTTTTTCTTCAAATTCTTAATTATTTTCAGGAAGAGTTTGGCTGGAAGCTTGTCCACGGCGATGTCTTCCGACCTCCGCGCAAAGGAATGCTTCTCTCAGTTCTTTTGGGATCCGGCATTCAAGTCTTTTGTATGGCTCTCGTTACACTGGCCTTTGCTTGTTTGGGATTTTTGAGCCCGGCAAATCGTGGCGCCCTGATGACTTGCTCCATGGTTCTGTATGTGCTGCTTGGATCGCCTGCCGGCTATGTTTCGGCTCGAATTTACAAAAGTTTCGGTGGAGAGAAATGGAAATCGAATGTTTTACTGACATCAATGTTAGCGCCCGGTATCGTATTTGGGCTTTTCTTCATCATGAACTTGGTGCTATGGGCAAAGGGCAGCTCGGCTGCGATTCCCTTCAGTACTCTGGTGGGATTATTGGCGCTTTGGTGGCTGGTTTCGGTGCCCTTGACATTTGTAGGGGCCTTTGTGGGTTTCAGGAAAAGGGCAATAGAGCATCCAGTGCGCACCAATCAGATTCCAAGACTGATACCCGATCAGTCCGTTTACACTCAACCACTGCCAGGAATAGTCATGGGCGGAGTGCTGCCATTTGGTTGCATTTTTATCCAGCTTTTCTTCATTCTCAACTCGATATGGTCATCTCAGATGTACTACATGTTTGGATTTTTATTCCTGGTGTTTATCATACTAGTTATCACTTGTGCCGAAACCACAGTGCTCCTGTGCTATTTCCATCTGTGCGCTGAAGACTATCATTGGTGGTGGCGCTCGTATTTAACTTCAGGCTTCACATCGATCTACTTGTTCTTGTACTGTTGTCATTATTTCTCCACAAAACTGCAAATCGAAGATGCAGCTTCAGCTTTCCTCTACTTCGGGTACACTCTCATTATGGTGTTTATGTTCAACTTGCTGACTGGCACGATAGGCTTCTTTGCCTGCTTCTGGTTTATACGAAAGATCTACAGTGTAGTCAAAGTCGACTGAAAGATGATGGAATTAACTAATATGAATGTTTTGTGTTGTCTGGCCCTGTTAAATATCAGAGTTCGACTTTCCTATGATTGAGAAAACCATTATTTTTAATCGTTAGAACTTTTTTAAACTAAATTATTGGGAGAGTGACTGTATATTTTTCAGCAATTAGCAATGTATTTATTGAATAGTATTCTGTGCGCAAATATATTTTAAGTACATCATGGAGTAAATAATTGGATTTTATATGTCAATTCAAAGAGATTTTGTTTGAAGTACATATATGATCAGTGCAAATACTGAGAACAGGATTTCCATTTTAAAAAGTACATTATTATACTGTATGGACATCCGCTGAAAACAGTTACCATTATAAAGGTATTAACTGTAATAGGTTTAGACTTAGTTCGTTAATACCAAATCTAACACTTCACTTTAAGCATTGCAAGATTGGAGACTGACAAGGATTCACTTGGATTAATCGGTTTTATTTTTACCTTGTGATAAAAAAATCTTAAATAAACATCAACGAGTGATTGCGTTGGTAAATATTAGCTTATGAGATCCATTAGCTTACATCGCGTTTCTGGTTTTTTTTCTGTTGGCTTCTTTAATAGTTATATTATTTGATGTTGGTACCTATACTTTACGTGATTGGAATCATTTGAATTATGTAAAATATTATTGTACAATAATTATCTATTGTAATATAGAGATATTTCTAGATAAGTGTTTTAGTTAAATGAAGTAATAAATTCGAATAAATTATTTAATGTCTGGCAGGCACAAAGTTTGCCAAATAGATGGTACTAAAGTCGACCAATTTGTTTTTTTGGCTTAACTTGCGGTCCTGTTGAATATTATCGAACCATCTGGACACATTCAAGTACGTTTCCTTATCTAAATTAGAGAGATTATTCTGAAATCCCAATTAGAAAAATTTGAATTAACAACTATTTCGTAGCCAATTCATCAGTGCAAGCTTACCATGATATTCAGCAGGAGATAATACAGAAACACATCAGCGATGGTCAATTGCGTGCCCACTAAATACGTTTTCGTGGCTAAGATGGTGTTTAATTCCTACAAATGTTTTGCTTTAATTCTCTGAGTTTCAACGGTTGGGCATGGTGTGTACCTTTAAAACTAGCTGTACGTTAGAGCTGTTGCTAGCATTGGCCACATAAACTAAAGCATATTCGAGCCATTGGTGAATCTGAGCCTCATTCAGTGCATCCACTACACCTAAATGGGAGTTTGACTCTTTCAATAATGAAAAAACTATATTGATTATCCCTGTTGTCGATTGGTTATTATTGACTCGCGTGTACAGCTGGGAAAATATTGCAATAAAATTAATTACTTCAGATATCCACCCCAGATCTATCAAGCCTTACGTTAATTAAATGCATATGGATTGAAATGAGACGATTAATGGTCAAACAGTAACAATCAGTTTCGAGAAAATTTGCTCTGCATACATGTTTTTCTGTTAATTGTACCCATTTTAATATAAAAAAAAACATTTTTAGAAGTTGATGAGTTTCTTACATTATCTTTCTTGGTTATCTTGCCAATTGGTGCATTTAAATAGTTGGCTAGTTTAGTTAAAACATGCTGGGGTTCGATTGGAGTCATTTTTACCCAGAAAACTCAAGATTTGATTACTAATTTGTGAAGTGATTTTTCTCAGATTAAGTGTGGTTAAGTGATTTTCTCCACTTCTGTCAATTATTGATTCAATTTCCGATCAGAAACTGTACAGCGTTGTCGAATGAATTAGTTCTAATAAACAAAATATTTTCTTTCTTACTAAATATTTCACTTATTTTATTAAATATAATTTAAAAAATGCGCGAAAATTTATATTTAAATTATTGAAAATACCTAAATATTATTGGAGGTTTTGTACGGAATTAGACAGTTTTATTCCAGCAACTCTGCCGTAGAGCGTTCAACATTTATTCGCTTATAGGTCAATGGTTTTCCACGAGTGGGTGTGTGCGGACTTAACCCATTTTCACTCCTAGCGCTTGAAAGAAAACGTCAACTGGTAAACAATTTGGGTTTTCCTGGTTTTCCGAAAAGAGAACTCTCTGAGTGATGGCTTTAAGCACTGCAAACAGTCAGCCGGCGGAAATTATATTTGTAAGCATATCCACGATCTAATTACTTTCCTTTTCCAGCTAAAAGCAGTTAAAGTACTAAACCAATTTGTTTTCAGTCCGAAGAGGACCTGCCCTACGAAGAAGAAATACTTAGAAATCCTTACTCAGTTAAGCACTGGTTGCGGTACATAGACCACAAAAAGAAAGCCCCCAACTATGGAGTGAACTTAATCTATGAACGAGCCCTGAAGGAGCTTCCTGGCTCCTACAAGCTCTGGTACAACTATTTAAGAATCAGACGACAGCAAGTTAAAAACAGATGTATCACTGATCCTGGATACGAGGAAGTGAATAACGCTTTTGAAAGATCGCTGGTGTTCATGCACAAAATGCCCCGAATCTGGATGGACTACTGTACGTTTCTAACCGACCAGAATAAAATCACTCGAACAAGGAAGGTCTTCGATAGAGCCTTAAGAGCTTTGCCAGTCACCCAGCATCACCGCATTTGGCCTCTGTATTTGCTGTTTGTAAAGAAACATGACATCCCGGAGACTGCTGTGAGAGTGTTCAGGAGATATTTGAAACTGTTCCCTGAAAACGCTGAGGAATATGTAGAGTACGTGACCGGGGCTGGAAGGTTGGATGAAGCAGCCGTTGTACTGGCTAAGGTAGTAAATGATGAAAATTTTGTATCGCAGAATGGCAAATCGAAGCATCAATTGTGGAATGAGTTGTGTGAACTGATATCTAATAATCCAGGTAAAGTGGTGTCACTAAATGTTGATGCAATTATTCGAGGTAAGTGTCTATTTTTATCCAATTTCTTTGAAATCAACATTTCAAATGATACCTAAACCTGCGAAGGCATTGGGTATCACTACTGTTAGTTGAATATCGCTTAATTCCGAACGTCTGATAAAACTGTGATGCATACTTATTGAAGAATGAAATAATCAAGATTAAGGAATTGTTATGTTTTCGTTTATAAAATCCAAACTATCTTTAAACAAAATGTCGTTTACATACTGCACAGTGCAAAACAGTCGCATGTTTAGCGTATCCTGTTGCAATAGTATGTGTATTTTTATTTCTTATATCTAATTCAATTTAAATAAATAACTCTTAACATTTTCAGGTGGTTTGAGAAGGTATACAGATCAACTCGGTCATCTATGGAACTCCCTAGCTAATTATTACGTGAGAAGTGGCCTGTTTGATCGAGCAAGGGATGTTTATGAGGAAGCAGTACAAACTGTGACCACCGTACGCGATTTTACCCAAGTTTTTGATGCTTATGCCCAGTTCGAGGAGTTGAGTCTGAGTAGAAGAATGGAAGAAGTGTCTAAGATAACTGAGCCTTCAGATAATGATAACATTGAGTTGGAATTGAGACTAGCCCGATTTGAGGATTTAATGGAAAGACGGTTGTTGCTGTTAAATTCCGTGCTGTTGAGGCAGAACCCACATAATGTCCAGGAGTGGCATAAAAGAGTCCAATTGTATGAAGGTAAAGAGAATGTCCGCTCAAAAATATCGCTTACTGATCGCCTAAATTATGTTTGCAGGAAAACCTCATGAAATCATTAACACTTACACGGAAGCAGTTCAAACAGTGCAGCCGAAACTGGCCGTAGGCAAACTGCATTCGCTCTGGGTGGAATTTGCGAAATTTTACGAGAAAAACGGACAAGTGGACGACGCCAGGATTATTTTTGAAAAGGCCACTGAAGTTCCATATACCAAAGTCGAGGATTTGGCTTCTGTTTGGTGCGAATGGGCGGAAATGGAAATAAGGTAAATTATTATTTCTTAACTTATAAAGTCGAGAATAATATTTCTTCATTAACTAATTGTCAGGAATGAAAACTATGAAGAAGCCCTAAAGCTGATGTATCGCGCCACTGTTCTTCCATCAAGAAAAGTAGCATATCATGACGAATCTGAAACTGTACAATCTAGATTATACAAATCCCTGAAAGTGTGGTCAATGTATGCGGACCTAGAAGAGAGCTTTGGGACTTTTAAGTCGTGCAAAGCAGTGTACGATCGAATTCTTGATTTGAAAATTGCCACTCCACAGATCATAATCAACTATGGAGTGTTCCTAGAAGAGAACAACTATTTCGAGGAAGCTTTCAGAGCTTATGAAAAGGGAATTTCCTTGTTCAAATGGCCAAATGTCTACGACATTTGGAACACATATTTATCCAAATTCTTGAAAAGATATGGCGGGTCCAAGATTGAGAGGGCAAGAGACTTGTTTGAACAATGCCTGGAAAACTGCCCGCCCCAATTTGCCAAGCATTTGTATTTGCTCTATGCCAAGCTTGAGGAGGAGCACGGCATGGCCAGACATGCCATGGCTGTATATGAAAGAGCCACGAAAGCAGTGCCAGAAACTGATATGTTTGAGGTATTCAATATCTACATTAAAAGAGCTGCGGAGATCTACGGCATTCCGAAAACGAGGCAAATCTATGAGAAGGCCATAGAGTCATTGCCTGAGAAAGACACCAGACAAATGTGCTTGAGATTTGCAGATATGGAGACAAAACTAGGAGAAATCGATAGGTATGTAACTCGGCGCTTTCCGGTTCCTTTTGGAGTATGTCTGATTTTCTTGTTCATTCCAGAGCAAGAGCAATTTATTCGCATTGCAGTCAAATATGCGACCCAAGAGTCACTATCGAATTCTGGCAGACTTGGAAGGAATTTGAGGTCAGGCATGGAAATGAAGACACAATGAGGGAAATGTTGCGAATCAAGAGAAGTGTCCAGGCCATGTACAATACCCAGGTAATGACAAAGCTACAGACGCGAAATTAACCGAATTACACACTCGTTTCTTATTCAGGTGAATATGATGTCTGCTCAAATGTTTACATCTGCTGGTTCAGTTACGGGAACAACTGCGGATTTGGCGCCAGGAGAAAAGGATGGAATGCGTCTTTTGGAAGCCAAAGCAGCCGAAATGGCCAATAGTAAGGCAACAGTTATTTCAACTCTTGGTGGGATATTTGCAACACGTTTGTTTTCAGGCGCTCCTGGACTTGGACAAAGGCCAGGCAATATAATGTTCGTTAGAGGTGAAACCCAGGGAGATAAAAAGGATAAGGTAGTCAATCCGGACGAGATTGATATAGATGAGGATGAGGACGAGGACGAGCCTGAACCGCGTTTGGAGCAGAAAGATGTCCCGTCTGAAGTGTTTGGTAGTTTGAAGAAACCCAAACCGATTTGATTCCAGCGCATTTGAAAAAAATACTTTAGTGGTAAAACAAATTGCTTTTATTGCTGTAAATATAAGATACAACCAACCCCACGTAATAGAGTGTATTAGGCTAAATGACCAGGAAATCTCAATATTCAGATTTCACATCCCTGAGTCATATTGCAAATGGACTGCCGACGATTTGGCTAAATATAAAAAGCCCGCTTTTATCCTCACACTAGTTGAATCACTCTTGTAACTTATTCCAAACTAAATGAAAAATCTGACAATACAAAAAGTACACTTACGAAATTCACAATACATCCATGAAAAAAGATTACTAACCTATTAAAAAACTAGAGATTTTGCAAAAAGGGCGGCAGTCGCTTGCGTCTTGTCTCCGTTAAATCTGCGAAGTTCGAAGAACACTTGCTGCTTTGTAAATCCTAAAGCTACTAACCCGTCGACGTCGCTTTGTGTGAATGAATCACTAGGCAATATTCGGTCTGTTTGAGTCGTGTTCTCTGGAACTGGAACAGTGGTGGAGGAACTACTACTACTTGAAGTGCCTCTAGGCGCACCTAAAAATTTTGGAATTCTAGTAGCAAAATATCTCAGCTATCTACAAGTAAATCTTTTTACACAAATTACTCAAGAGTGAATGCTAAACAGTTTATTATTCATGAAATGAAACATGGGGATTTAGTTAAAGTTTTTGCCGGAATGTTTTTGAGATCTGCTTTGTTTGTTCCCCTCATGCCTTCTAGAACTGTCTGCAGTGTTTCTTCTTTTCTCTACAATAGTATATCTAATTACCTTACGAACAATTGAGCAATTGAACCCAGCAGGTATTCTACAATAAAGCAGCAAAATGTTTTGCGACAAATTTCGTGCATGGGCTTGTTTTTAACCGAATTCAAAATGCTCCGGTTATAACAAAGGACCTACCTTGTCTGCTGTTATTCAGCGCAGTTTGCAAATCGTTATCTTCTACCTCTTTTCGCGATTTTTGTATCACATCTTCATCGGATATAGTACTCAGTCTTGCACAGTCTGGGAGATCGCTTTCGGATAAAAATGGAGTTTCAGTGCTGGTGGTTCCAATTCTCAGTACATTCGCGTGCAGATCGATACAACATTGATGCCGTTTGAGCATATCAAGACCTGGATAAAAGAACATCCACTTACTTTTTGGTAGAACAAACCAAAGTTTAACCTGCGAATTGTTCATTTTGCTCGACTTGTATGAGAAATCTAATATTTAAACTCGCTTTTATAGAAACTTGTAGTATTACCCAACAACATATCCATTGGTTGCTCTTCTAGTACTGAAAAACTAGTGGTCAGATAAACATTTTCAATCTGAATCTGCACCATATGAATTCTGCCAATAATCCTTTGTACTCCAACACCTTTGGCTATGCCTGCCCATCTTGTGTCTACCAACCTCATTATGTTGCATCGTTCCGCACATCTGCTGGACATTATTGTGGTTTGAGCACCTGAAACGAAGAATTATCCATCGCAATCTCAGGCATATTTAGACCCGATTTGAAATACCTGAGTCAATAAAAGCTTTTACTGGAAACCCGTTAACATGGCAGTTAATATATAGCATAACGACAGTGCCAAAGGACTCAGGATTATATTCCATGGCTGCTTCCATGTTAGCTTCAATATTTTTTTGTCTAATTTCTTCAGCTATAAGTCTTTGAGCTTCGGTATCAAAGGGATCAGCATTCGCCATTCTCAGTCTTTGTTGTTCTCTTTCCTGCCTTGCTGTTACTTGATCTTTTAATACAGACGCAAATGTATCTAGAGGAATTATTTGCTTGCGTCATACACTTGACCAATTCAATTGCTTAATAGTAAATTACCAATGTTTCCACTGAGCAAGGCATCGGCTAGGCGCGGATTGTTTTGCTTCAACAAAGCAAGCTGATCTGGATTAGCCAAAAACATGTCCCTTATCAAAACAGGGTCATCTTCGGTGTTTCTGTTTCGCATACTGTTAGGAACTTGAATGTTGCTGAAGTCAAAACTTGAAACTGTAAATAAGTCAAGATATAACTAGATGATTTGAGGCGAGTCCAAAGTTGTTACCGGAGGAGTTTTGATCAATGTTAGTTTGAGATCCGGAAAGCATGTGCTGCAAAATAACTGCATCCCCGTCACGTATCCCAAGGTCCTTCAGCGACTTCTTGTTATCCATTAAGGGCATTCCATTGAAAGCAATCACGATTTCCGAGGCAGGAAATCCCGATTCAATTTCGCAAAAAGCTTTGAAGTTTTCCAACTCCAATTCCTCTGACACGTCCAACACAAAAATGAAATCCGTTAAAGTTGTCACAGTTACCTTCATGTTTTCGATTTAGTTTTTCTGACTATCGGTATGAACAAATATAAGCTACTGCTTCCACAAATTGAGCATGTTTTGGAAAACGCTAAACTATCTGCCAAATCACTGTCGGATGGTCGTCTGCGCCAGCGGCATTTTCTTTGTCTTTACTTGTCTCATCCAAATTTTTAACGTGTTTCGATTCCGATGATCCAGATAAACAGTTTATTTTTAGAACGCGCGATGGATTTACAAAGGAAATTACAACTTCAGATTTACAAGTTATTGTCTCCCAACAGCACGAAAACTACAGGATATAATGACCTTAAATGTCAACTTCCCCTTCCTTTGATAAATTCCTTGGCCGACAGGACTCATCGAGCTATAAACCAAATAAATAGAAATTAAATAAAAAAGTTATTTGCCATTGTTAGTTTATTCAAATTTTACTTCAAAGAACTGATGAATTAAATCATCACTTATTATTACACGAAATTTAAAGGATTTCAATGGCGTCGTCACACTCTTGCGTGACGTCATCAGATGCGTTATGAATTTAGAAATAATTTTTCTATAATTGGCAAGTCCAATTTATTTCATTGGTACGACGACGGACGAATTGACAGATCTCCAACCAATAGAAACACTTTCGTACCATCGTATAAACCTTTGAATATAAAACTAACTTATTAGTTAGTTAGTTTTATATTCAAAGGTATAAACGCCTGCATGGGGCACGGGCTTTAAGAGCCGGTTGCACAATCCAAGTTCAGCGGTCAACGTGGTTCACCGAAAATATTTGGTTGTACCCATAGAGAAAGTAAAATAAACTCAAATTTACTTACTCTATGGTTGTACCCATGATACAATGAATACAAGGTATGATCTTGCGTCGATTTGTGTGACGTCAGTGGAAATCACTGGCGGGAGTGTTTTTTCCCTGTCTGCTAAATGTGATTAAATATAGCTTATTTAGTCTTTGTCACATTTAATTATTTTTTTATAAATCTTCCTTATAATTACAAGATGCTTTGCAGCAGATTTTAGACTTCAAATTTAAAAGTAACAAAAATGTATTTATTTTGTAAACTAGCACAGTTGCCAGTTGTGCAATAATGTATAGCGTTAGCTGAAAATGTATCCTTGCAGAAATAGTACATTACGATTCAAGAGACGGAAGTTCAAACAATGACCCAATGTTACTTTCCTATTATTTACGACGGAATATGCGGTCTGTGGTGCCGCGGATGATATGTAAATTTTAATACAAATGAAATGACTGCAGATTGCATTTTTTATATTTCTGAACCGACACTTAAAAGTAGCAAACAATCTAGAGTACACTTCCAACTACCAAACGCAAAATACTCAGTTTTGGCTACAAAATTCCCAAACATGCCCAAACGCATTGACCCCATGATGCAATGAATTCATTGTATGATACAATCAATTCATTGTAGTTTATACAATGAATGCATTCATTTATTGTGATACAATTAATTCATTATTTCGTTTGGCTCAACCCGATTTCTTAAATGACACTGGCAACACAGCACGCTAAAACGCTGAAAATCAGAGATTTTGTAAAGAATTATTTAGGGTATATTTCTTCCCAATAAGCCCAAATCAGGTCCCAAGCGCGATTTTCAAAGCATTGAGCTATACAATGCTGCAAACCATATCCTCATATAACTTTCCATTTTTGAACTATTGCGTTTTGAATTCAGTGAAAATTGGTCTAGGTTACATGCATTTTAAATGGGATCAACTGTTCACTTTACCAAAGTGATAACCAGTGACGTCATGTGCGCAAGAAACTCGAGTTTTCCACCGATTAATATCGTACTTTGTATTCATTGTATCATGCAGCTGAACCATCGTCGAACTTGCTTTTGCGCAACCGGCCCTTAATCACATTTAGCAGACAGGAAAAAATCACGACACGCAGAGAGTCCTACACGACGTCACGCAAATCGACGCAATATCCTACCTTGTATTACTTGTATCGTTTTTATAGATGTTTTTAGAAAAAAAAAATACCATGGAAAGAACGTCTGTCACAGAGAAAGGTACTTGTCTCTGGGGCTTTTTTTCATGAGTTTGCGTGATCACTCCCGGCAAAGTTTTGTAGTGCCGATTGCCTAAAATCGGTGAGAAGCAAATTTGATATTCGCAACCTATTTCTGTATCACAGATTGTCAAACTCTTGATTCAGTCCGTTCTGTATTTGCCCATGATAATAAGCTTCTCACATATGTGAATTTTCACTCGCCTAGTCTAGACCAGGTGAATTTGCTCTCACTGATTTTAGGCAATCGGCAATACACAAATGCCCTGACAGTGCTCACGTGAAAATAAAAGCCCTGGAACCACAGATTATCAAACTATTTAGATTGGCAACTCTCGTGATTTCGGCAAACCGCATTCAGTCGCGCCGCCAGCGATGCGGATTGGTGATTAAACCGCCAAATTCAAATGTAATTCAAGTTAATTTATCATTAAAAATGCAAAAAAACTCAGTTTTTTTAAATGGCACCCACCAATTGTCTTGGTCCTGTGAGATTTTCAACCACAACCAAAAAAGTTGGTACGAGCCATTTAAACAAACTGATTTTTTGACTTTTTATATCAATGTTTGTAGGATGCAAGCTCTCAAATGCAACAAAATAGGTACATTTAAGCCACCCGGGGCGTTAGTTTGGGCTTTCAGCTAGCTACCTATCGAATTTGGGTAAAACAGCTTTGTAAAAGCCTACAAAGCTGATAAAAATATGAGTACTATTCTCAAAATAATGTTATGACAAACTCAGATGGTACAGCATTACACTTCATATTCGTGCGATTAATTACCATGACAAACTTGCACTATTCGGTGAAATGTATATCGGGTACCCTAAACTTGTGTCGCTGAAGCTAGCAAATTGTTCTAGATTATTAGAAACGAGTATTAAATTTGAAATTAAACAAAAATCCCTGAGAAGAGTTATTCAACCGCGATCACGTTCGTTTAATTGGATTACGTTATTCATTCAACGTTCACTTCTACCAAAATAAAAAGAGTGCAAACATCTGATATGCTTAGGAAACTAATCCTCAAGAAGTAATACATATAACGAAAAAAAAAATATCGACAGTGAGGACAAAAATATTTTGAAGTCTCTATCGCCATCGCATGATCACCAATATTGCTATAAATTATGGTTCGGTTTTTGCATGTTTTAAGTCGAATAGTATTTTTGAAATGAATCACAGCTGTTGATCAATTGCTTTACTTCCTCCTAACTGCCATTAGGTACCTACATCCATCTTTACATCTTGTGTTGTTATTCTCTTAAACTTTTCCAATCTGTTTCTTATCTTCCCCTCTTATTTAGTTTCGATTTCCACTAAATCTTCTAATGGTTTCGTCACCTGACACCCCCCTAATTAAATGATCTTTGCTTCTCATTCTAGCACGTCGTTGTCTCTCCTGATCTTCTTTCAGTTTGGCGGGCCTTTTTTGTTTTAGCATCTTTTTCATCCTTGCCCTTAGCTCCTTTCTTCTTTTTACGCTATTTTTCAGCTGCAGGTTCCTTGGACAGCTTGAACTTTCTTGTCCTCTTGTCCCTCTTCGTTTACTTTATCGTTGTAAGACAATTAATAACTGGGCGTTTTTCTTCCCACCTTTTCTTTTTAATTTTTGCTCCTGGCCTCTACTCTTCCTCAGCGTTTTTTCGTTAGCCGCTTCATCTCCACTATCTTCCATTTGAAGCAAATATTATACAGGGTGGTTTTTTAGTGCGAGAGAGTCCATTATTTCCGTTGGTGTTGAACTTTCGAAAAATAGTTTCATATACAAGTTGTTGATGCACAAAGTGCGCACATTTAAGTTCAACCACCAACGGAAATAATGGACTCTCTCGCACTAAACATTCGCACTGTATATTGAAGAAAATCAAGTACTTTCTTGCTCTTGATCCTTTTAAACGTCTGGATTAGATCCAGCTTTAACCTTTTGAAACTTCTTCGTACTGGCTTGCACGATCAGTTCCTGCGATCCCACTTCCACTTCGCTTTCGTCGTTCTTCGCTCCTTTATGTGGTTTATCTTCTAATTTAATTTGCATTAAAAACGATTACTTTTCTCTTCTGTAAATTACAATTTTCTCACTCGTAATGCTAACATCAACTTGTGACAATACATCTCTTCCGATAATAGCTTTTAAACTAGATGCGCTAGTTGGTATCACATGGAATCTTAAACTGACCTCTTCATCCTTGATTTTAACCTTCGCATCAAACTCTTCCATAGTTTCTATTCGATTTTGTCCAATTCCCCTTAGAAAAATAAACTCTTTACTTAGAGAATTTGGGAAAATCGTTTTAAAACACATCTAAATGAATAAGGCTGATATCGCCGTTTGTATCTAACATTTACGTAATTGTACATTCTTAGAGGTTTATTTCACAGCGTTCTTTAGACTTATTGCGACAACATTTACATTTATACGGTTTAATTTTTTTCCGGAGGAGTGCTAGATTAGATATATGCCCAAATTAATTATAGGCAAAACATTTTATTTCTTTCTCTTTGTTAAGGCAATTATCAGACGTATGTCCTTTATCGCCACGATTATAGGACGAGCTCATTTTGTGCGGCCTCTTCCTTTCAGTTTTGGTGTATTACTGCTTCTCTTGAAATTTCATTTTCTCTCGCAACGCAGTTACTATTTTAGTAGTTTTTATTCGTTCGTATAGCTTCACTTTTTTCTTAAACTCACTAAAATTTCTAGCAGCGTATAGAGAACTTTATTTGGTAAGTCATCCTGAATGCCATTTATTAGACATTGTATAATCACTTCAGCCTCTACATTAGTTCTGCTTCCTATTTCTCTCATAATTAGTATCTGCTACAGTGACTATATACATCACAGTGGCGACAATGGTGTTAATCCTCTTCTATTGGTTAAGGACTCCACGTGACTAGAATCGTCATTTTGAGGCGAAAGTTATTTTTTTGGCTGACTTTTATAGGATATCGTATCTGCGTTTAGACTAAATGAGTTATGATAATCTTGCCATTAAGTACCGACGTTTGGACAATATTATATTTCTGTTCGCATAATGAATTAATCACACTGAACAGTTGGTCTAGTGTACGAGCAATAAAATAGTAATTGCTAGTAGGTAATAAAATATTTGAGGGTACAAGCACATTTAAAATCGATAAAGGCGTCCGACAAGGAGACACCATCTCGCCAAAACTCTTTAAAAGTCTGCTCGAATATATGTTTAAATCTGTAGACTTTGATGGACTTGGCATCAACATATATGGCAAAAACCTCACACATTTAAGATTCGCAGATGACATAGTTTTCA